TCGCAAAGTATGAACGCGAGCTCAACGCTGTTATAAAGCGGTATTTTTTAATTTCGGGATTTCTTGGTTCAAGTTCTAAAAACTTGTAAGAGCTCCAAACAAGGACCATGTTACTGCATACCGTAACTGGTGATTTATCGTGAGCAGCTGATACATTCAGTGACTGCGATTTTGTAGCCTCGGATGCAGGCTGTTCAGGTGCTCGTGCCACATCAAACTGGAAAATCCGGGTTCAGTCCAAAATTGCAGACCCATACAATAAAGGTTTTTGAAGATTTCGGCGCTGATTTGTTCATTGTTGAGATGCGCCAAACAAATTACTTTGGTAGAAGAAAACTCTGTATGATTACTTGGATGGTGGATTTCTTCCGTATACGAGTTGGCCATTTCTGCAGCCATAGAGTATAGCTCTTCTGCCATTCGGAACTGCCGACAATGAAGCTAGAGGCTCGTCACGACTTGATTTCGCTTAAGTCTCCACCCGTCAAGCAATGGACGCACGCCACACGTCCAGCCATGTGGCCACCGTCAGGCTTATGGTGTATGGCGTGAATATGGGGTACTTACCGCGTATTGTAAGCAAAGTGGACATAAGGAAAACTGAATCATCACGAGTCTTTAGCCTCGTTGTTGCATGCTCTCGAATGGCGGCAGAGCTACAGCTCCACCTATATTGCACACGGAAGAGGTGCACCTCTGAGATAATACCACGGGACATCGCGAATCAGACAATAATCTCAAACCTTCGCAGGCTCTGCGGCCGCCTGATTAGATGACGACGGCGTCTCAGTTACCGGTAAAGATTGCGGGCGATCGGCTGGCTGCACTTCTTCACTATTTCTCTTTACATTATCAGCAGATCCCCGACGAGTTGTCTCTAGTGAAGGCTGAAAACAGTTGAAAATGAATGGCAGCCTTCTCAATTTGGATACCCTTTCGTACCTTATAAAATTGACTAAAAGAAGAAGAAGGAGCATGTTCAAAATAGTCATCATCCGTCGATCCGACAAATATAGGTGTCGCAGAATTCTGAAAATTTGACTAATAATGACAAACATGATTGCGGAAATTCATTCCGCGATAATCGGGTAGGTGGAGGAGTCCAGATAGTGCATTTCTCACTGGCA